TGGCCTCAGGTGGTGAGAGTAGAACAGAACATCATCCACCTGAATCGGACCTCACTTGCACAAGTACTTTTACAGAGCTGTGATCAAGAGCATACTCTGCCACGGCACGACTGTGGGGTACGGCAGCCGCACAGCCAGGACAAAAAAGACTTGGCCTGAGTGGTGAAAATGCCCAGTGGATTGTGGGGGAACAGCTAACAGACCTCTGTTCAGTGTCTTGATACATGCTCAATCACCCTGGTAAGTAAATCCCAAACGGTTGATTCTTTTGACCTCCGTTACTGGTAATGGGCACAAACACGCTCTCAGAATGGCTGACTGGTTCACCAGCTGACATTCCAGATAGGATATCCACCACCTCCCTGTGGATGCCTGGCTAAGACAATCGGGCCAGGACTGGATCCGGAGTTTTGTCATATCCCATGTGACCAGACATCAGGTTATAATGAGCCAACTGGAAAAACGTTTCCCAGCAGATTTTTGACATAACTGGGTGTGCTCTTCCTGTGTCGTGGTGTCTCAATACAGTCTGTCAGTGCACATCATTTGACCATCAATTTTCATTGCTTGATCGAAGGCTGAGCTTAGAGTGTCGTCACAAAACCATTCTAGTGGGAAATCTTTCCTGGAGCGAATCATCGCTTCCATCCTCCACAAGGTCGGTGTCGGACAAGCTCACATCACCGGTGAGAGCAACACAAAGGTCTAATCCCTCGGTCCCATTTCCAGAACTGATGGCGGTGGTCTTCAGGTCAGGCACAGCTGGTCCAGGATTGCCCAACAGACATCCGGAAATCACCTCCTTGCTGTCAGGCTTGCTGAGTGCTGCCACCTGGGTCTCCCCTGACAGCTGCCGCAGCGACCATTCCCCCTCAGGACACGGGCTTTCCTGTGCCGTGACCGAAACCATTCTTGGAATGACTGGGGCAGGTGTCATCTCCTTCCCCCATCTTGTGGAGCCTCACTGCAGGGCCCGGGTGAAGTGGTGGCACTGCTGGAGAGCCAGCATGAACAATTAGATTTTCCAGAATTTCTGTCTGGCATTCGGCCTGGTCCAGCTGCTGCTGGTGCTCCTCCACCTACTCCTGATACATGGCAGGCAGCTCCACCATCATCTGTGTCTGCACCTTTAATCCGCTGCTTCAGACGTCTTTATTAATCCAGGCTACCAAGTACAGCAGTTGAATCTAAAGTGGATGTACAATAGAGGTTAAAGTCACTCGCACATCCAGAAACTATTCACAGTGCTTCACTTATTTCACATTTTGTCACGTTACAGCGTTATTCTAAAACGGGTCAAATTCATTTTCACATCCAGCACCCCAGCCTTACTGGTCACATGTAGGTTGCATCTATTTTTACTATGACTCACCTTGTTGGGTGGCTCAGGAGGTAGAGCAGGTCATCTGCTTATCAGAAGGTTGGTGGTTTGATCCTGGACTGCTCCAGTCTGTATGCCAAATGTGCTTGGGCAACATACTAACCCCAGGTTTCTCGCCAGTGGATCTGAGTATGAATGTGTGTGAATGTTAGACAGGAACTACTTGCATAGAAAAAAGTGCTCTTGTGAACGAGGCAAGTTGCTCAGATAGAGCCGATAAACGCCAAATAAGAACCAGTCCATTTACCATTCACCCTATGGTTCTGTTTTTGTTGTCCTACCTCGACCAGTTTTTTGACTGGGGAAATAACAGCAATGTTTCAGGCAGGTTTTCCAAGTTTACCACCTTATTAAACAAAATGCAAACGATAAGATCCTGAGCTTTTTCAACTACGGTCTCTTTGAGAAACTCGAGATCTTCATTACTAGAGGTGGGAATCACCATACATCTCATGATACGATATTATCACAATACTTAACGCACGATACGATATTATTGCAA